GAGATCCCAACCCAAGGCTGTCAGAAAAACCTGACTGCAGGCAACTGGAAGTTGTTCACCTCGGCAGGTTTATGGTTATATTTATGGTTTGGGTTAGGGGTAGGATTAGGGTGGCCATCTTGTCCGCAGCCAGGGCCCTCTCAGGACTGCACCTGCTCACCAGTACACCACTTATCATCTTACAGGCATTTAAATACTGCTGTTCTACAGTGCAAACAAAATATTCAGCTGAAAGACACTTAAAATATTGATTTGAGCACTGAATAGTAGAAAGTAAGGGAAATCTACACAAGGTCAAATTTTATTCAGTTCAGTTTTAAAAATGTATTGTCCTCAAAATGTATTGAATTGATTCCTGGCCTTCTCTTTCTATTTGTGTTTGATCAAAGCAGCAATACTGAAGAGCTGCTGTTGCCCATAGCACTTATTCCAAAAATTGCCTTGTGCTTCAGGGAGATTACTATGGCAACCATCACAAGTCATATCATGCATGTATGAGCATCTCACCACTCTGAAGTCCACCAAAAGATGAGCGAGTGTCATATCTCTCATTGCTGCATTGACTATGTGTTTGTCATTCATCAAGCGTTTCTGGGTTGCTTTTATTTTTAGCACATAAAAAAACAATGTTGTTTTTAAAAATACAGGACGGTGGCCTCACTGTGGGCTTAACAAACTGTGTCAGTAATAGGAGGGAAAGGATGGGGAGCTATGAAGAGCACATGTCTCCATGGTGGCCTAAAAACTAGAGCGGTTTGGGGTCTGAGGCCTAGGGAGCAGGTTCTACAGATCCACCTGTTCCACACTGACTGAATGTTTACTGAGCTTTTTATTTTGTCCATTTTTAAAAACAGCCGCTGTGTTGGATATCACTCCTGAAAATTTCTGCTCTTGTGATTTTTTCCACTGATTGAGCTCCACTGATCTTTTTTTAAATGCTGCTTTGCTCGCATTCCTTTTTTCTCCTGTTCAGTATTGCATCACCTTCACTTCTGGGCACTGGCTATAAATATTCGCAGACTTGTTCCAAGTCAAGCTCATCAATCTGTATAATTCATTTCAAACATGCTCTCATATCTCTACAAATTATGGAGGAAATTAAGCTCCCTTCTTGAAATACTCCAGTCTTTATTGAGTGAGTCAGACAAGTCGCCCGGTTTAAATCAATATGGACGTTGCGAGCCATGGTCCACGTCAAGCTTAGTGACAGCAAAATCGAAGCAGATGCCTTGGGGGTAGCCCTAGGACATTAGTCTTCCCTGGTGATGGAAAGTCACACAAATATTTTTCACAAAGATGAGTTTGGAGACAGAAACCACACTTTTAATATTTGTGCAAGAAAAAGCAACGGTTGATGTTATTGTGGTAACCCTGGAGAGTAAATACATCTCTGAGTTCTCAAACAATAATTATCTGTGAAGGGGATGAGCTCAACCTGTTTTTAAAAATGTTTTTGGGACAGAACATATTGAATTATAGATACAAATAAGCCATTATCTTCTAGTCCTGGATTAGAGCATCAGTATATAAAAGTTCACCTGCCACCGTCAGCAGCAGCTTTGTTCTCATACTGACTTCCTGTATGGTTTAAGATTTATTTGTTCCACTATGACATGTACTAAATCATCTTTTTATAGATTTTAACAAAGGGAGTGTTGTGTATCTTTACACTCACATTTTGTGCATGTTCTAAATGTGCTACATGTTCAGCTGATTAAAGCAAACACTTTGGATGCTCAACCCTTACAAGCTGAAGCAGAGTGACTAGACAGTGGGTGCCATGCTCAAGGACACCTTACTGGTGGTTGTTGTGAAAGTAGAGAACATTACTCATCTATTGGCCTGTCATCTAATTTCCCCACCCACAGATGCATTCATCTTGTGTATTCTATTCACAGTTCTCTGACAAAGTGATGCACATAGTGGCTAAAAGGGAGTTTAACGTGGTGACCTAGAACAAACTGACAGCGTCCTAATTAGCTAAATATCACATCATATACTCTGAGTTTTAAACCCATCTAACTAGTCTCAGTGGGACTGTGAGGCACACTGAACACTGCAGGATTTAACAAAATGAATTTTTCTGTCTTTTGATAACCAGCTAGCAAATAGTTCAGCTGAATGCAGAGAATAATCACTGCAGATGAGACTATTCTGTGCAAGCAAGCTGCTGCAAAATGCAGTTCTCTCAGTTGAATGAATGAGGAGATTTTTTTTTCATAGTCATAATGTCGACCTGAACCAAGGGCAATTTAGACCAAGCCAATGCTGGTCTAAGAAAAAGGAGTAGAACAAAAGATTCATGTCAAAGATTATGATAGAGCTTTTTATACTGAGCAGGACTCCAGTGTGAAGATGCCCTGAGGCAGTGTGGCGCTACTGTATATGCTAGTGTCAGCATGGTAAAATGATAAGAATGACAATACTAACATGAAGGTGTGTAGCAGGTAAATGTTCACTATATTTATGCACCATGTGTGTCATGTTCACTGGACAAATTTCATATTTGATTGCAACATGGTGCTAGAGGAGAAGTCAAAGGATCACCACATCATGCAGTTCATCCTGATAATGATAGATGATCCTGAGGTAAACAATTGGACCACAGTACTGTAGCTATCATTGTCATGCCACTAATGTGCTGAAACTTTATTGTTACAGTATATACTCACATTTAAGCCTATCTGCAGAAAAGAAAAGGCAAAGGTGAAAACTCAGGACAAACCTAAAAGGGTGAAATCACGGATTCACTAAGCTGAAGTGCTAATCAGACCCCCATTACTGCTGAACAGTGCCAGCTAGAACCAGCTAGTGCTGGGTGCAGTGCCAAATCTACAGTTGGCCACAGAGACATCTGACTGTGAGCATGTTGTGTCAGGGCCCTAAAGAGCCACTTAGGACAAAATCAGCAAAGGAGGTGTGAAAGGTGGATGACATTTGAGAGCCAGGGAGGAAACCGGAGCAATTAGTCTCTGAGGTCAGGGACTACTGGAAGTGGAACAAAACAACAAGCAAGGCAGTAATGACCTCTTCTTTGTAATATGCTGACAAACTGACCATGTACTAGAAGAAGTAAAGCTGCATTAACCATTTCGTTCATGGAGGCAATAAAGCAGAAAGATTCCTTAAGGGATGGAAAATATGTCAGAGCCACACACTTGTTTCGAGCTACTTAATGTTTCAGATCATGAGCTCTTTTCGCACAGTGTGACATTTGTTGCGGCTGTAGGTTAAATGTTAGCAACGCTGACCAAGATAGCACCAGACTGTGAAAAATACGAGATAAGACAATGAATGACTGGAATTCAGTGTTAATGTGTAGAGGTTATACCATAGAGAATAACAGAAACTGAGGTTGTTAGCACAAAAAGGTGAGTTTAAGTCTTTAGCCCAGTTGTGAAGCCTTTTAGACAATAAGTGTGTGAAACTGTATGGATGTAAAAGGCTAGAGAGAATGTGTTTACTATAAAAGAATGTGTGCTCAGCAAACTCTCCCTGGATAAATAAAAAAACAACAGTCAGCAGATGCTGCATGAGTTCAGCATTGTCACCATTTCTCTCCTCAGTACAGTGCGTCTTGCTGCTATCTTTGTGCTGATCCACTGTTTTGGGTAAAACAGCTGAAAATAGCTTTACACAGAATTACAAAATTCGATGAGAATAAACTGGATAAAACTGGGCATGTTATCTTTGACTACAGATAGAAAACATTTGAAGTTTATGACAAAGAGATAAAGCAGTTTAAGGACAAAAGAAGTCAGAATGACAGCAGGAACCGGCCCCACTAACCACGCGTGAGAATGAGCCTCACGGAGGACAGCGCTCAGGAAATGAAGATGTAAGATGAAGATATCACTTTAATCCCATTTTCATAGTGACAATCTTTGATGTGACAAAGACAAAACAATGTCTTTCTGCAGGCAGCCTTTAAATCTGTCAAGCCTTTATTTAGAAAGGAAGGATTAGTTGTGTGGAGCTTGATCATAGTCAGGGAACGCAAAAAGAACATTTTCAGTGATTTTCAGTCTAATGAAACCCTCAGCGCCGAAAAGGTACTGGGAAATAAGAATTATCAGGAAGTGCTAGAGCCTGTTAAAAGTCCAGGAGACTAATGATGTCTGGTGCTGCCTCATGGCTGCAATATCACCCTCTCCATTTTCTAAATTGAGCAGCACTGTGACACTCTGCAGAGCTAAATGTGTTACAGAATTCCTGCAGGCCTGTGAGTCTGCTGAAGCACTTGGTTCAAAAGCAGAAAGCCCAAACTACGTTTCAGACTTCATCTGGACCAAAACATGGGAGCAAACACTCCCACGCACATGGTGCTGTGACCGTGTTCATTTGTGCAGCACTGAAAAATATTTTTCCATGTTGAACGCACAAACATACATGTTCAAAAAGCAGAACAATTAGTTCTAACAGAAGTTATATCAAACCTTTTCCAGGTGTAATTTTGAACTGGATGTTGAAGTGAATTGGGAAACTGGTAATTACTGTAACCCCATTATAATGTGAATGTGGTATTAGCTTTTCTGAACAGATGTGAGGACCTACTAAATTTCTAATGTTACATTTATATTTTTAAAAAATCTAATGTATGTGTGGCTCTGTCCTCGACTTTATCATCCATTAATACTATGTGTAACCTATTTTGCATCTATTCATAATTAATAAGTAAGCAGTGAAGACCTTGCTCAATCACAAAACCTGTGAAGCAGCCACAAAAACAAGATTTCAGAATTGAAGTGATGTAGGAAACATAGCAAACATTCATGGGTTGCTAGGTGGTCATGTGAATAAACACATAAATTTAGGAATAAGAAGCCTGTTAGATTGAAACGATGGTTACGTACAGTAACCCAAGCTTCTATGAGTATAGGCGTAGCCCTCTAAGAGCTGTTGCGCATGCGCAGTCCTGAAGAGATACTTTCGCGCCCTGTGCCCTGCACTGGGCTGTCCTCAATTAGGTCCGCAGCAGCAGTATAACTGCCACTGTGACCTAAGCTCGCCTTCCTACACAAACCAGCACTTTTTCTTCAGCTGGCGGGGGTGGGGACAGCAGGGCCGCCAGCTTAGATGCTGGATAGCATGTTGGATAATGAGACATACATGCCTCAGCCATGTGTGGCAAAAAACAGGCGCCCATGGGCGCATCACAGTAGTTATGACCACAGAGGCACAGGTGCAATGGGGAGCACATGGGGTGTGTGTGAATGAAGCAGAGCACACATCCCACCAGTGCATGGTGCGCGGCGAAAAGAACAAGTGCCCATGGGCGCATCACAGAAAAGATGGCCATTGGGGCCGCATGTGATGGGGGGTGCATGGAGTGTGTGTGTGTGAGTGTAGCAGGGCACACATCACACCAGCACACAGCGATCAGACCGATTGGAGTTTGGCTGTTCATTTTGCCGCCTGAGCGATTGACCCAGGGTCAGCGATAAACGGTGGTGGCACATTCACGTGACACGACAGGGAAGGGGCTCACCGTCGCGCACGACACTCAGGACCGAGTGAGCCAGTGAGAACTCGGATGTATCCCAGAGGTAAAAATGGGTGAAGGGACAAGGAGGCTACCGTGCAGATATCTTCCACAGCCATGCCTCTAAGAAGGGCAGTGGAGGACGCGATGGCTCACGTAGAATGGGCTCTCATGCCAGGCGGAGGGTTGCTCCCAGCCGATATGTAAGCCTGTGTAATAGCTTCACACAGCCAGTGAGACAGCCGTTGTTTTGTTAAAGGCTGCCAAAGAGAGCGGCTCCTGTAATGCACAAACAGCTGTTGTGTCTGCCTGACAGCTGCCGTGCGCCCCACGTAATGGGACAAAGCGCGCACTGGGCAGAGGGCGTGGAGGTTCCTCTCTGCCTCGTCTCCGTGAGGAGGAGGGAGGAACCCATCCAGAGAAATAACTCTGGATCGATAAGAGGATGAGATAATCTTAGGTGCATACGCGGGGTTCGGTCGGAGAATGGCCGCACTACCATCTCCGCGGATAAGGAGGCACGCCGGTGAGACAGACAGTGCACACAGATCACCCACACGCTTAGTGAAGTCATGGCTAGGAGGATCGCTGTTTTCAGGGAGAGATGTTTGAGAGAGTTGTGTGCCATGGGCTCAAAAGGAGGCTCGCTGAGCGCGCATAAAGCCAGAGGCAGATTCCACTGTGGCACCATTGTGCGCATCACAGGTCTCAGTCTGCACACACCCCTGGGAAAACATTTTACCAGTGGGTGTGTGCAAATACGGTTCTTTCACCTTTAACCTTCATGGCATGATGAGATGGCGGCGGCATACGCCGTTGTTGACTGAGCGCTGGCGTACTGAATAGTGTGCACCACCGCTGGAGGCAATCCTATGCTCTCCAGTCGTTCCCGTTCAGGGGCCAGGCCCACAGCCGCTGACCTATCATGGGGAACTGCTGGATCTCGCCGTCCAGCTGAAAGAGTGCGTCTCCCTGCCAGGGGAGTTGCCAGGGATCCCCCGCCAGCAACTGAACCATGGTCGAAAACCAAGCTGCACTTGTGCGCTCCGGAGCTATCAGGAGGACGCACAGCCGCTCGTCTTGCACATGTGAAAGGAGCCATGGGATTAATGAGACTGGGGGGAACGCGTAGAGGAGACCCCTCGGCCAGGGGTGGTGAGCAAAAGCATCCACCCCTAGAAGCGGGTCGTCCCCAGTGTACAGTGAGAACCAGAGGTGGCACTGCACATTCCCGTGTGCTGCAAACAGGTCTGCCACCGCTTGGCCGAACCTGTCCCACAGTGTCTGAGCTAGGGCCGGGTTCAGCCTCCACTCGCTGGGCTGGGGTCCACCCCGTGACATGAGGTCCACGGCGCAGTACTGCTCGCCAGGGACATGCACGGCTCTGATGGAGAGCAGGTTTTGATGAGCCCAGAATAGAAGTTCCCGTGCAATTTCCAGCAGCCGGGCAGAGCGAACACCGCCTTGCCGGTTTATGTATGTGATGGCTGTTGTGCTGTCCGAGCACACCATGACGTGTTTCCCCCTCAGCCACAGTGTGAAGTGTTTCACCACCTTTAGCACCGTGGCTAGTTCCAGGCAGTTGATGTGGAGAGACGGGGTGTGATCCCACCGTCCTCCCACAGCCTGTGACAGACACGCACCTCCCCAGCTGAGCAGACGCGTCTGTGAACACCAAGACGCGTGACGTGGCGCACTGGGTCGAGACGCAGACGGCCGAACCACCTCTGGAGCTTCCTCATATGAAGGAGACCGAGGGGACTACGAACATGGCTGGCTGACATTGTTTCCAATAAAAGCATGACAGATAGAGCTGTCGTGTGGGGAACAACACGGTGCAGGAGAAACGACACCCACCTCCCCAGCCGAGCAGACGCGTCTGTGAACACCAAGACGCGTGACGTGGCGCACTGGGTCGAGACGCAGACGGCCGAACCACCTCTGGAGCTTCCTCATATGAAGGAGACCGAGGGGGACTACGACATGGCTGGCTGACATTGTTCCCAATAAAAGCATGACAGATAGAGCTGTCGTGTGGGGAACAACACGGTGCAGGAGAAACGAAAGCATTTCTCGCCCAGAGGATGTCAGCCTTACCTTCATGCTGAGAGAGTTCAAGTGCACTCCCAGGTAAGTAAGCATCTGGGAGGGCATCACACACGTTCCCAGCACCCCGTCATTGCCGTCTCTGTTTCCGGGGGGGCCTGGTTGAGGGGTCGACCAGGTGCCGGCCACTTGTCGCCTCGTGCGGGCCCACCTGGAGGCGTCTGGTCCGTTCCGGGGGGAGAGGCGAGAGGAGGAGGAGCTGGGTTAGGCGGAGGGGGACGTCGTGGTGCAGCGGCAGCGGAGGCTGCTGGGCACCTGGCTCTGTAGCTTTGGTGTCTGCCCTGGTTACGCCAATCTTCAGGAAGGGCGAGGTTGCTGTCGTCCCCATGACGCCAACTGACGAACCTGCTCCGCCTCATCGGCCGCTAGCCACAGGTGGGAGAGAGCCTCTTGGAGGTGTGGCCCAAAAAGACCGTCTGAGCTGACGGGTCCTTCCAGTAAGCTCTTGTTAATCTGCTCTGGCATTTTTGACATATGCAGCCACATATTACGTTGCACCATAGTAGCCCATTGTCACGTTTGGCGTGTGCAGATGCCAAACAGAGGTTGTGGTGAACTCAATTAAATAACCAGACGAACTGAGGTAACGAAAAGTTCTTTACTAGTAAACAAAAACCAACAAAAAAGTCCAGGATATCACTTAGGTCGACAAGACAGTCTAGGGTCGGCGCCGGTTAACAGGTATATCCAGGGGATCCAAACTCGAGGTCAATAAGACAGTCCAGGGTCGGCGCCGGTTAACAGGTATATCCAGGGGATCCAAACTCGAGGTCAATAAGACAGTCCAGGGTCGGCGCCGGTTAACAGGTATATCCAGGGGATCCAAACTCGAGGTCAATGGGAACAAAAGCAGAAGGTCGGTACACAGCAGGCAATCAGAATCTGAGAGGGCATAGACAAAACACGGTGGTCAAGAAACGGTAATCCTAGGTCAAACACAGAGAGTCAGGCAAGGGATAAATGCTGGAGAGTCAGAGCTGGGGTCTAGAACAATCTGGCAGCGTCCTGGTGGGAGGACGCTGCCTAAATAGAAGGGAAAAACAGGTGCAAACAATAAGGAGCAGGTGAACTAATGATGATTAAATAAAAGGGCCAAAAGTGAGGTGAAACAAAACAGGAAGTGATGAGAAAATAAAAGCATGACAGGAAGCAAGAGGGGCAGGAGCGTGACAGCCCATTCCCTGATGCGTGCTGTCGCTACAGCTGCAACAGATGACAGTGCGAGTGCTGTGGTCATTGCTGATCTCCTCTGCTGCCTCTGGAGGGAGGGCCCCGGGCTGAGCGGCGAGGGAGGACATGGACGAGGAGA